ATATATATATATGGGATGTCATGCATCACGCGCACCTGAGCAACAGAAATGCGTTTAATGACACCGGTGGAGTGATGCTTTATAACGTATGATTTGCATATATGAAAAATTTACATGTGATTTGTAACTCATTAGCGAGGAGGAAGATGAACAAAAAATATATACATATGTATATATTCAAGCGCAGAAGAAACGCTCGTATGTATATATAATACTTATCCGTATTTTCGTTAGTTTTTTCATCGTCGCTGTTAGCTATTTATAATACTTTGAGGTATGTGTGTAACTGAAACATTTTGGATTTTTCTAATTGAGCGCCGAGGAACCGAGCGATAACATATTACTGCTGCTGTTTTGCATTGGATTTTCTAGTTGGTAACGAGTATTTCGACTAATCGACGCGATAAAGGTGGAATTGTCTTTGCTTCGGTTGTATCTTTCATTTTGGCTGTATTTATAATACGTAGGATTTTTTTTTTCCTTCTTTTTATCATTTTATATTATACTGTATACTGACCTACAGCAGGTACGTACAGTTTTTTTAACGTATTATTCATACTGTCGCAATATGACATACAACCAACAATCGTTGCGTACAATTATTTTTTTCTTCGATTCTTACACTACTACTTTTTTTACTCTTTTCTTACTCATCGCCCACACACCATACAATTGTACAATTATTTTTATTTTATTCTCAACGCTGGACACGACTAATCTATGAATTTGCCTTAGTCCTGAGGGGGTGTGACATCAGGACTGACCCATGCCCACCCTTCCCCGTTCGCGTTGTCAAAGTCATTAAAAAAGACTTCAATGTGTGCGCGCAGCCCCTCGGTTGAAACAGTCGATGGATCAGAAACATCAACGGCTGAGAATTTGATTGGTTACCCATCCAAGTACTAATCGCCCCAAATTCTGCTTATAACTCTGCCGATCGACGAAGCTGCAACTCTTAGCGGTGGCCGTTACATGCAGATGAGTACCCGCGAACCAACTCATCAGATGGCGCGCTTCTTACCAATACATGGACACAAGAACACATTATCCATACACCGTAACGATGTAGGTATACCTGAAAAAAAGAAAAAAAAAAAAAAAGCAAAACTCGAGTCAGTAGTAAACTTACGTAGCATCGGAATCGGTTGTACGATGGGGTACAGGAGTAAAGTACAGTATCGCGAACGAGTGAACACGACGACACGGCTGGTGGTCACTCGCTCTCGTTTTCTAAGTGTATATACGTATATCAGGGAGGGGAAGAAGAGGAAAAAAAAAAGAGTTATAGATATATACTTATACGTTTATGTATACACAAGACTTATCAGCTCCCCAGTGAGAGGTGCACGCGGTGTTTCTTTTACAAGTACTTCCTTGCGCTCGGCTTTGGTTTCTTTAGGGCCGTGTCTACCTTCTCCTCGAATCGGTTCCACTTGGTAAGACCAGAGAACCCTCTCTCTCAAGGACTTGCCGATTTTCCGGCACGATGACACGAGTGTATATTTATAGACCAACAGTCGTGGCTAGTAATCGTCTCTGTAAGACGAGAGGAGATTTTGTGTGCGCTGCCGATGGCGATGCAGGAAAAACGATCGGTATAGTATTTGTAAGAAAGAGATCGGAGCGCTTCGGCCTGTTTGCACCTCCCGACGATGATCCGCAGCCGAGA